GTTAAGTCACCTATGCATCTGTTTAATATCATTGTTCATGTGATCAGAGAGATGTACGCGCTCTGATCGGTCGAGGATTGCGTCATTCCTCGCTTCGTTAAAACAACTCGTGCGAGGTGATCATGGCAGGGGCGCTAAATTTCAAAATGGCTGCCTTGCGTTTCTCAATGTTGCCGAGGAAGTGATTAACGCAATGGAAGAAAATTCAATTCCGAAGAGCACAACAGATGCTTTTATGTTTGGATGACACTTTTAAAAAGAAAGATATGAAGTTTTTGCCGATTGAATTAAATAAACATGTTAAATTCTAGTGTAGACTAACCGAGTAGTCAAAACAATTGTAACAGACTGGTTTCAACATCAATATAGTTCGAAATCACCTGAGCAATTGTCCTAAAACAATTGTTCCCTTGAGAATATTCAACAATATTCATGTCGCCTTCAGCGAATAATTTTTGAGTTAACCCTTTCACAAATTCCTGTAAAATATAGTTAAGTAGATTTAAAAGCGCTTCGGTTTGAGGAAATTTGTTACCAGGCAACAATTAATGATGCTGACGTAACTTCTCGCCGAATACTACAGCTATTACTAAGCAACTTGAAACTCTTCGGCAGCTGAGGGAGGAATATCTTACGATCCGTTTCTTTTCAAATGATACTGAAACCTGATTATTTTTACTTTTCACATCGTAAGCATTTAACCGATTGTTGGTTCAATTCTTAAGATTCATCGAGGAAGATTTTAAAAGTACATGTACCTTACGTATCTTTTCATTCAACAAACTGAACGCATAATTATTTTCTCAATCCATTTATGATTAACATCTTCAGTTCTTTGCTGTATTGTTTGCTTTACTTTCAAGTCACCTTTCTATAATAAAGGGGGAAAGTTTCTTAAGAAACTGTCGTGCTGCGTCGGTGGGGGAGTACCACAAGGTAATTTTAGTTTTATCAACTGAATTGATAATATAAATTTGCCTCCGAAAAGAGTTTCAAAGCTGACGTTCCGAGCGTTAGCCCATCGACAGAACGAAAGAGGAAGGGCTAATGTCGGCTTTGAAATTCTTTAAGGTCGCCATTTTACATTATCAACTCTGTTACTAAAACCAAAATTACCTTCTATCATAAGTTACCTAAGGACAGTAAATTTCAGTTTCATATGATATGAAAAGTCGATGAAAAGGGAAAAATTAGCCTTATTTGAGTTACTGCACTGTTTGCTTTACCAACTGCTGTTTTTTGATTTAAGGAAAAAAAAAACCTCACTCGCTTACTCCATTACCGGGCGAGGAAGCTGAGAGAAAAAAACAGGGTATCTGTGGTTATTGACTAAGAATGATATCCTAAGCAGCAACACTCACATCGTAGCTAAGGTTTTTCTTCA